TGCGATCATCGTTTTAATATAACAAAACTATAGCTTTCACATTGTACCTGTGCGCGTATCATATTATACATGTACAAACATATGCTAATACAAGCGATACATACCGATGGTATTTGATTGAACTATGCTGGGAGTTTATACAGGAGTTTAGTCATAATTGATGCAACTATTTGAGAATAATTGAACACGAGCAATATCATGTGCTGTCTCACAGAAGAAACTTATCTGTGATTTATTACAAGACATAACTTTAAGACAGAAGGTTTGAACTTTTGAAGGGGGTACATAACTACCCTCCTCAGGATTGTAATTGTTTTGTTTATGGCTTCCACTCGCATTGTTTGACTTCACGATGAAAATTAAACCTAAGTGTAATTGTTTATAGTAACATCTACTGCCGACGGGCTAATGCCCTTTATGAACGTACAAATTAATTGAATACTATTCACCTTATTTAATACTATTGAAGGAAATGTTTATCCTAATTTATATCGTTAAAATGATTTTGTTTGTTTCTTTTATAATAATGTCCACTAATCAAAGGCTTATTCATTCGCCGGGTTTGAGGCTTCTTTTTTGAATATATATATGTTTTTCTCGTCCAAATAATATATTGGGTCATTTTTTTTTATTATTTTATTTTGCATTGATACTAACATTTAATGTAATAACATTACAAAATAAAAAAGGTCAGTAAAATTTTATGATATTGCAAAAGTTTTTTATACCCAAAAGCAGCATTTTGTTAAAGTACAGTACTCAAGAGAAATAATTGAAATAACCGCTTTCAGTAATCGATATAATGCCGAGGAAAATGCCCCTGTAAATTTTCTTCATTTCACGATAGAAACTTTCGAAGGGAGACTTAATTTTATCAAATGATTTAAAACATTTTTCGGTGGGTGACTTTCTCGTTACTTCCACGCCGAAGCAGACCCGAAGGCGGTTTTAGGAAATCTGTGAACTTCGGAAACATAAAGTGAATTTGGCTGATAATTGTTATTGTAACATACTTTTTATATTGCGAGTTATACAATTAATTAAAATTGTTGGAATTGAATGCTTTGTTGGGGTAATCTTTTGCATTACCTTATTAATTGTGTTATCTCTTATATGATTCCACAAAAATAACCTTGTGGTGTAGCATGAAATGGCAATAATAATGTCTATTTTATTTCATTCCAAATAATTCGGTAGGTGTGCACCTGACATGCGCTCACTGACTGATTAAATAACCACCGCAGAACATGAAAGTACAACAGTAAGTAATTTTATGACTCTGTAAGAATTTACATATTTTGTTAGTCACATATTATATTAATTTTCATTTAATTAAGCTTTTAAGAAATATTGCTAAAGGATTTTGTTTTCTTGACGTTGATTTAATTTATCGTATGTATATTTATTCGCATTTACGTTGATTATATTAATAAGCAATCTGTCCCACGAATCTTATTTAACATAATAGGTCAAAAAATATTACCTAGTATCATTTTTGCTTTTTCAATAGTAATTTATTTTAATCGTGTTGTAGTTTTCATTCACTAACAAGGACATACCTGAAACGTGGTTTTTATATTTTTATGATAATGATTTTGATTAGATTATGCTTTAATAAACTCAATGGATAGGCATATTATATGTATTTAGAAAGTATATTGGGGCCCTGGACAGAAGATTTACACATACACAAAATTCAAAGCAATATTGCTTTCTATCTCTAACGGATACAGAAAGGAATCCTCAATTCAAAGTTACTTGGGTTGTTGGAGACTGTGGTTTTGCTCAGGAATTATGTGAACTGTATTTACTGTCAGATCCTGATAGGAATTGGTTTAAATACTATGATGGCAATAGTTGTATGTATGTAGATATATTATAAGTTAATCAAGTAGAGAATATGAAATGTTAGTGCTTTATTCCAATAAAAATGTTGTATATGAAAGTCAGAGTTGCTTAATTGTATGCTAAGATATTGGCAGTTGTTTATGCATATATTTACCTATGTACAAATACAATTTATTTTTTAGGTAATTATTTTATGTACATATTTATTATTTAACTTTACCTGATACATATATATTGTGGTCAAGTATAGATATGGGTTTCACTGAATTCATGTCTTTGATGCACTCACCTACTACATAAAAATTAGCACATTTGTCCTGTTTTCGCCGTTAGCAAACTTTTTTCAATATTAGCTACTGCTTCTATGGAAAACAGTTAAAAGCAAGAACAATTAAAACTAATTGTTATTGAATCATATGTTGTTGATTTGGAAATAGGCTTATATAGAGTTTAGTTCTAAAAGAAGATAAAAAATAAAATCAAAAAAAGTTTCCTTCAATAATATTTAATTCTCCTCTAAAATAAAAGTAGAATTTGTGTTGTTCTTACTTTATTTTATGCACTCGTTTTCATCGTACAAGTAAGAATAAATATAATATGTTTCTAAAATATCTTGATATAATATTGTTAACACTCGACGATCTACATAAATCTGATGAATGGATATAACATAGCTTTGTTTTGTTGAGTCAGAAATATTAAATAATAAAAACTACGTAATATTTAAAATTTAATAAATAATATTTAATATTATTATTTAAATTTTATTCCCTCGACTCATACAAGGTTATTTAAATTTAGTGACTATGCATGCATCATTAGAAAGAAACAAAATGGTCTATGAGTGCGCCAGAATGCGATAGAACTACCTTGCTCTTGCGGACACAATTTGTCACTGTCTCCGCCAATTTCCTCTTGTAACTAGTTTTTTCTTTGCAGAGTGTAAATTTAATTTTAGTTCTTAGTTAAACATGTAAAAAAAATCTTTAACATAGTGCTACTTTTAGTTGATCATTTTATTTATAGCAATAAATTTCTGACATAAATTACTCCACTAAACATTGTTTTAAGCATTCAGTATAAGATTATGATTATGAAAAAATAACGACATTTTAACATCTAATACCGTGTAAAAGTTCGTATGTGGGAAGGTTTTGTTTTAAATTGGTTCGATAGGTTTTGGTGAAGGACGCCGAAGGGTGAGATGCAAGTGGCGTGAAATAAACGCCTTGTTATTTCTCACCAACCCGCCTCCTTACAGATCTCATCATTGCTGCATGAATAACAACCCGTTAATATTCACCAAACCTATATGTTCCACTAAACGTTTCTCTATTTGATGATTATTAATTTTAAACTATAAATTTTACGAATTCTGCTGCAATCGGATTACAATTAGATATTTTATTTGGCTTACTTTGCCAAATTCCAACTTACAAATAGTGCTTCAAGATAAAATTGATGTTATGCACGAGCCTGTTCGAAAATAACAATTGCAATAAGAACATTATTCTTATAGTAATAAGAACCACAACATACATATAAATCTTTATTTAAGCCCCGATTCTACCTTGCCTATTGTGGCAACGAGCCAACTTAACGCCTTACCTAATACTCTAGGTATTAATTTTCTAAATTTATTAGTTACACTAACTATTCATGATTAAAATACATACTAGGTTGAGTGTTATATATATATTAATATTGACTATGTGTAAAAAACTTGGAAAATGTTAATTCAACTTAAGCAAAAAATGAATAAATCATTTGATCATTTTATTGAAATCGTTTGGAAGTAAACATATAATTCCACTTTGCATTATAACAACTTAAATATTAAATTTTGCTTTACGTAGGGTGTATCGTTTCAAGGGTCATTTTCTACATGCCTGTCACGTACAATGGCCGTTTGAGTGGTCATAAAATTACTTTCAATTTAACCACTCATTATTATTTTACTTTTTTTTCCTGTATACCTTTCTAACTAATTACTTTTAGAATATTAACACCCTCGTCTTAGCCGTTCAACTATTTTATTTATAAAATTAGTTTTTCCAATATATTTCTTATGATATTCAATATTAAAGGATTATCATGCAGTCGACTTAAAGTAATTACACGGAGTATCTTTTACACCTCATGAAGTAAGCAAGTTAGAGTTAATCGATTGAAGCTTTCTTCATAATAAGCATGTTTTAATATTTAATAGGAGATAAAACAGTAAGTTCAGAAAATTATATTATTTTTAGTAATCGCGTGACTTCGTAAAATATTTTTTAATAATATCTAACGCTGAATACTTCTGGGTGCCCAATATATTGTACTTTTGAAAATTTGTACTTTATATTACAAGTTGACAACTTAATCCTATTTGAGAATATGGACGGAGATAAAAGTGAAGAGAAAAATGAAAAATAGCTTTTTACGTTGGCCCATCTATCTAATAAACCTAATATTGGTTCGATACGCGCTCGAGAGGCATGAAATAACTACCCCCTCTCCTGTTGGGGGTTCTCTCATCATTTCTATTCGTTGTGTACAGTTTCATAGCTTGCAAGAGAAACAGGTCGTAGGAAGAGAACTATACAAGAGATAAACGTTGTATTTAACTGGATATGGCGAACTCTTTATCTACATATCATAAATTAAAAATCATTATCCCTTTCGAGGCATTTTCTATCTAAAGTACTTAATTCTTGTTAGACAATATTCTGAAAGTACCCTTTACAAAAAAAAAATCTTAATAAATAATAAGTTTCAGTTGTCATTATAAATACTAATACAAATACTAATATTCTTTTTTAAAGTCATTGACAATAGCAATGTTTATTGGTATTATTCAATATTAAATTAAATAATAATCAAAACGATACCAATAAGATTAGAACTGTGCTTGCTTGTATAATTTTTATTTAAATTTGAGCGCATTATACTTTTTTGCTTGCGTGATCATTTAATGAGATTTATACGTGATCGTTTCGAAATGGCTTCCCTATGTAAATTTTCACAATTACAGTATGATTTGTATCGGTTTTATCATTAATGTTCGATATTGATTCCAAAGGGAAAAAATATTTTTTTGAACCAATAACCGCAGGTACTCGTAGTTGACGGACGATTAGCAAAATATGTAACAATAAATAATTACTTACTGTGATCGTATGTCCTCGGATCAACAGTGGTGGTAGTAACAGTAGTATGTTCATCTTCATCATCGTACATCTCAGTGGTTGTAGTAGTGGTAGTGGTGGTTGTGGTGCGACGGCGCTTGCCTTGCCGGCGTTCTTGTTTCCTAGTCATCGGCACTGTGGTTCGTATAGGTAGAGCCGTTGTACGTTCCGGTAATCTAGCAACCGCTGATGACCCGCTGCCTGGGCCAGGATCGGCCAAGGCCAGTGCCACCAGTGATACGGCGATTAACCGAATCACCAGTGGCCCGATCGGCCACATCTTGCCTGAAACCAGATGTATTATATTAGATCTCATAAAAACGTATCTACGAGGAATACAAGTACTTCATGCAAGCAATCATTTCATACCGTAACAATTTTTAATAAAAACAAGTTGTATGATTTATGTATACTGTACGTATGATCAGTATAATATAAACTTAGTTCATCCTCAAAAAGATCGCTTTCAAAGTGAACTACATATATTGAGTCACCTCGCGCGTTTGTGACGGTCTATGTTGTATGTATACGGCAGAGTCTATATTTATTTTTCCTTTACAAAGAACAATCTTTTAAACAAAATGTTATGGCGAAAAAAATATTGTGTAATACAAATTACATGATGTTTTGAGATAAGTGTGTTTTTCTAACCACTTCATTTTGGAAATTTTATATGAATTAAAAATCTTTAAAGTGTTTTGAAAGTTTTTGTTTAGTATTTAAAAACGTCAAAATTAGTTTTTCTATGTGAATCTACTGTGCACTAAATTACGAGTTAAAAATGAAAGGTTTATAAAAATATGATCATCTCTGCAATTTAATCGATGTACGAAATTAAATAAAAAAGACACATATATTTGGCTATATAGTTACGAAAATGCAGGCAGGCAATAATAACTTTGACAGTTATAACCTCTCAGAATCCTTAGTTTGCCTGAGTTGGCGGTTAACAAACTTTGACACTTCTGGCTCCAAACTATACATAGTCTCCTCTAAATACCAGCAATAAATTATCAATTAATGCCTATTTCACATTCAGAGTGATTCTGTTGGTTATGTAATAACGAAGAAAAAAGGCATGGTTAAACAAGATAAAATTACATACAGATTATATACAGATAAAAATGAAAAAAATGAACATACTAGTTAAAAATTAAGATCGTAGTAAGAAAATCTATGATATGAACAGATAAATTGAATTAAAAACTTCATTTAAAGATACTCTATTTAATGGATTTAAAAACTCTTCGTAAAAACTACCTGAAATCTAATAAATTTAATCAAAGCCTCACTCTTATTGCTGCTAGGAAATATCTTTACAAAAACGAAGAAGGCCTGGCACTAATGGAAATCAGTTGCACATTGCCAACAGCGTTCTGTTGAGAGCCTTATTCACGAGTGTGTACTACTTTCAACAGCCGAGAGCGAATAAGAATTAAGTACCTGTACTAGTATTGTACCGACATCTCGACCACCTGTATTGGTATTACATTATTCTGTGTTAACAAATTTTGATTTTTAAAAATGAGAACAATAATGTTTCTACTTCGAATTTTAGTAGTCACAATTAACTACTATACACAGATTTTTGTGTGAACAAAAACTTTTAACATATTTTCGATATACATACGTAAAATACGCTTTGTCATGAATGTTTAAATTCGTAATTGACACTTGCTGATATATCAACTATGGTGGCTTGTTATAAAAATACATTCGAATATGAAAGAGAATAAATCAGTATTTGATACTATATCAATTAATTGATCAATCGAACTTCCCCAGACAAGCTGAAAATAAACTTACCGTTTGCAATTTTGAACAATTTGTTTAATGTTATTTTTATACCAAAAAAGAAAACGATTATATATGTATGTGTTATTATTTTATAATTAAAATAGTTTGGAATGTAAAAAAATCAATCGAAATATCATATATTATAAACTGTTTTTTTTTTACTTTCTTGATTAATTGTTATGTATATTAAATACTATACACAATTCTCAAACAATATTCTAATTAACTAAAAGGTTATAAATGGAATAAAATATAAATTGATATATGCATAAAATATTAATACAGAAAGTTCGCAATGATAGAAAGCCATATACTAAGTTCCACGTGCCTGCCGTACCAGGACACCCCTTTCTCGATTTATGACCTCACCGTGCATTTGAATAACTTTACTATAAAAATAGGCGTTCTGCGGCTCCAAACTTTTGTAATAAAATGCAAATGGTGACATTGGTGATGCCAAGTTTCAACATTATGCACTGTATATGTCGTATTTAGATGCTTAACCGTATTTTTTTAAAATTTCTTATGATCGATTGTTTTATTTTTTTGATAGTCACAGCAAGCATGTCGTATTGTAGCCAAAAAAATAGAATTTGTACAATTTTTTTTTGTTTTTTTTTTTTATGATAAGAATATCTTTTGTTATTAATAAGTGGAGAAGTAATATATTTTTTAAATTTAGTTTTATGAAATACGATTAAGAAGAAACCATATTGTTTGCTCATTTAACTAATATTGGAAATAACGAGTGAAGGTAACAGTCCGTTCGTCCTGCTTACATTAATCTCACAAGTTTGGTTTAATTGGAATTAATTTTGAATATTTAGTATATGTTTTATCAAAATTAGACCCTATTAGTGAAAGTATTGTTCGAGATGTCAAGTTATTATAATTATATTTTTTAAACTTAAATAAGTAGCAATAGTTGTGACCTCACTTTTTTTCAATTTTTATTTTCTTTGTTTAGTTGTGAGTTTCTTAAGAGGGTCATAATCTAAATACGAGAATCTCTTAAAGTTGATTTTTATTAAATTATGTAATTATATATTTAGAATATTTTTACTATTAAATAATAAATGTAATAGTTAAGGAGGTTTGGCGGTTTCTTTAGACTGTCTTAAATACTTAACTACATATAGTTATTACTAATGCAGTTAAGGCATCTGCAAAAAATATGAAATAATGCTTACCTTTTAAAAGTAAATCATAAATTAGTTTTACAGATGCAGTAACATCAATTTTACTATTAAGTTCCATAGACTTATTAAACAACTTAAATCCATTAAGGAATGATTAAATTCACAGGCTACATGATACAGTGCAAGATTTGCAAGAGATAAGTAGTAAGAGTTCTATATATATAATCTGTTTAGATGTAAACGGATGACAACGGGCAAATTACATTATTTATTCAATATACCTATGGATCGTTTCTTGAGGTTTTAAAAACACTCAAACAATTTTTTGATAGTATGACGTCATTGATTTAAACACGTGATACAAATAGATAACCGTTTCTCAAGACAATAAAAAACACAATGATTTCTTGACGAAAAAACTCGCATTTAACTTATTTAAATAATGATTGTAATTCTTAGTTTATTACTTAAATATATAAAAAAATCATTAACTCTAATTTTACATAAGTATTATAATTTTAAATTGGAGACAAATCAGACCTATTTTAATTATTAATTATCTTCTGAATTTTTTTTTTAACTGATATCACCTTCTAAAATGACACAATGTTGAAACTTTTTCCGCCCTTTTCCAGTGTCATTTAAGATCAATACCGTTTATAGCACACGAAAACTCTTTTAAAACGAAATTCATTGTAACTTTTTCAAAAAGATGTTTTAAAAACAATGTATATTTAAATTAAAAATTGAGATCAAAGTTAAATTGAAAAAGTTCTACATAGTACATATTTCAAGAACGTGACGTTTAACTCATTTGCCTATTGTATGTCCGTACAGTTTGAAGCAACTATTTACGCCTTTTGGAACATGACAAAGGTTGCTTTGAGTTTTTGTTAGGTACTTGCAGGAATTTTACACAAATGCTTTTGTCGTAAAAAGTAATAAGCTGAAAGTGTAGCATCCGCGTGCCATAAACAATTTTAGAAAGTTTCGTTTTGCATGGGTTGTTTCTGCGCAGTTATTTAAATAGAATATATGTTAATTACTAACAAGTATTTGATGAACATTTACATATTTCTTGTTTTTAAAAAGGAATTGGAAACATTTCATTGTAACTTTAGTTATATCAAGCTCATAATATTTTACTCCGTTTTATTTTTACATGAAAGTTCCGAAATGTCATATAACATTATTATATATTATTATTATATTCGCGCAGTTTTATTTGTAATTAACGTTAGGGATATTACTTGAAAATATTTAATGAATTCCAGCTTTCATTAACTTTCGATGAAGTTTGTCAAGGCTGTGTTTAAAAAGGTTTAACCATACAGACTGTAATGGGTTCACTGTAACAACTCTACTCTGATGTGGTTTTAAAAGCAATCCTTGATATGTACCCCCAAATTCAAAAGGAAGTGTGATATTTTTTGAGAATTTTACTATTAATCAAATGACGAGTTTTCATATTTTTCTATATGCGAAACCTGTATTCTAAAACAAGTAAGACAATAAGAATAAAATAAAATAAATAATAATTTAATATCGTCTCATTTTTTGTTAAATTTATCTCATATAAGTAGATTCTTTTTTTAATGATACCTTTCAATTTAAAATTTCGATATAAAAACACTTCATGAAAAATATTTACGTTGACTGCTTTATAAACAGTGAAAGACTCCATTGCGTTCGCACATTTGCATGTCTCAAATAGCGTAAACTCAATTTTAATTCGAATACCTAAGAATGATCCTCGAAATTGGATCGAGATTTCGGAATTTTTAGAACGAACTGAGCTAGAGCGAGGTAACCTAATTTTATGGAACGCCTTCAGAATGGCATCGTCTCGTAGTGTCGTGATGCTCTGCGAAAACGATTAGATTCGATCGAATGTTGGAAAATTGGTATTACTACGACAGCCAACAATCTGTCGTGATCGTGTCGACGATCATTCAATAATATACGGTTCACCCGTTAGAACATATTATTGTGATTGTTCCACAATTCTATAAACATTTTTGTAACAGGATACATACGGAAATAATGTAAAAGATATATTAATTGTAATGATATATGATTCACAAACTTAGCTTTATGATTCGTTTTAAAATCCTTGTTTATCTATTCACAACAGTTGTATTATATCCAAGTGACTGAACGCGAAAGATTGACACTGCGCTTAAATAACGCCCTCGTTGCGTTTTATTTAACACATTGAAGTGCAATGTAGCGGGAATTTTCAAAGCTTTTTGAGTGGAGAAAACAGGATTTGAACTCGGAAGGTGTGATGGAGATAGCGTGCTTGGTGAACATGCAGTGAATGTATTCGAGTGACATAAAAGCG